CCATATGCTATAATAAATTGACAATATAACATAAATTCCTGACCATATGCTATAATAAACTGACAATATAACATTAATTGGTGACCATATGATATAATAAATTGACAATATAACATTAATTGGTGACCATATGCTATAATAAACTGACAATATAACATTAATTGGTGACCACATGATATAATAAATTGACTATATAACATAATATGGTGACCACATGCTATAATAAATTGACAAAATATCATAAATTAGTGACCATATAGTATAACAATTTGACAATTTAACATGAATTCGTGACCACATACTATAATAAATTGACTATATAACATAATATGGTGACCATATAAAACAATAATTTGACAATTTAACATAAATAAGTGACCATTTAACATAACAATTTGACAATATAACATAAATTGATGACCATATAATATAATAATTTGACAACATAACATAATATGGTGACCCTATATCATAATAATTTGACAACATAACATATGTTGGGGACCATATGGAATGTGTATCTGTCTTTATGACATTGAATAGTAACAACGTAATATACTGTCTGTAGTTTTAAGGCAGCTCTGGCGTTCCATAAATGTTTGTCCTCGCACACGTGTGTACCTCTGTTTGTTTGGTCACACCCCATTGCACTAGCGGTATTTCTATCCGCGCGCGAGTGAGCACGCGCAATACTTGAACGGACTCATAGCACTGGTCAATTGTCGGTAAAACAACAGACACAGATATCAATAGATTGCTATGTTACTTCACCTGACAGTATAACGGACGCGTTAATATTTTCGAGATTATTTGCAAGAGTGTTTAAAAATTGGCCGCTGTGTTCGTCACTCCAATGGTAAGTCGCCATATCGGTACACACAGGTGTGTCCGCGTGCGAAGTACTGCGCTCATCCAATGAGAATCGGGTAAACATTTGAAAGTGAAAGGGGGCGTGGTCAGACAGCAGATTGAAATTACAAACTAAAAAATGTTAATTACATTGAAAAGGCATGGATTTAATATCAAGTACATGTAGTCGATAACGCTCAATCCGTTGTGACCACAAACTGTAAAATCATTTGAAAAACCGTCCGCATCCCTGCCGTTAAATATGCGTATACCTGTTGTTTTACATAAATCAATTAACCGATTCCCAAATTGGTTAACAATTTCGTCAGGGTTAGCTCGGATACCATATTCATCGTCAGGGATGTAGTCGAACAAATCAGAGAGTCTCCTCTCCAAACTGACATGGATGTTATCATTTTCTATAAAATCAGACTTAGTACCAGTATGACTATTAAAATCGCCAATTAGCATAATTTCACCTTCAGTGGTGTAACGATCCACACTAGCTTCAAGATCATGAAATAAATCACATTTATATTTATTATAATAAACAGAATTTGCGGGTGGAATGTACACACCAGCTAAGTAGGCATCTTTGTTTTCAAGTAACAGACTATTTATCTATCTTTAACCAAACAATAGAATCATTTATTATCTCACAAACAGAAATATATTGTTTTAAACTGGAATCAATTAAAACTACGATACCGCCACCCGAGTAGTATTGGTAAGTTTTCTGGGTATTACACCGGAGTCGAAACCATCAATATTGATATGGTAATAATTAGGAATCTAACATTCCGTTAAGACAATTACGTTGTTGGTTTTAATGAAGTTTTGTAAACTAGAAGATTTTAATTTCCTATCTAAACCGCCATTAATATTCCATGGTAGTAAGCTTATATATACTTAGAGTCAGAATGTGACTCGTGCTCCACATTTTCCTATTTATTGTGTTGGCTACGTGCATCCTTTGGGGCACCCCTAGGGTTGCCAGGTACTTGTACGGACGAAACGGTCGAAACGGGACATCTGTACAATCCACCATCGATATGAAGTTTGTCCTTTACGATACTGCCCCCTTCTTTTCATCGCGAGCCTGTTTCCAGACAGGCCACAGCCTCTTCCTGACATCCTTGACCTCCTCCGGGAATTGCTCAGAGATATTAATATCAGTTCCCTTCAATTTGTTAGATTTGTTACTTAAAGTCTACTATATTAGAACAAATGTTTAAATAATTGAATTGTTCCAATATATACTAAAGATATATGCTTGTGAAAAGTAAATCTATTCTTAATAAATACTCGTCGAATTTATTTAAACACATTTAAGTTGTAACAATTTGTGACCACTACGTACCTTGTTCAGATTTATCCGGAAATGGTTCAAGTTTCATTCGAACTTTAGGCCATTGGCCCATCAGTATACAATACATATTATACACAAATCATGGACAATGTACAGAAAATGAAGACAATCATATTCCATTATAATACCCTTAATTTGTTTGCCTCAAAGATGAATTTTCCTAGTATACACAATTCTTTATGAAATGAAATAGTACACAAGCTGATTGAGATTTGTCATAATATTTGTTTGAATATGGAAGAAAATAAAGATACGTGTATTGTCTTTTGTGACACCTCAAAGGCCTTTGATCGAGTTTGGCACAAAGACTCTTCTTTCCTTATTCTGATTTCCAAATTCGTTTTATGGTATAAAATGTACATATATGCCTATTGTCGCTATCACATTGTTGTTCTACTAGCGCATGCGCATAGCACACCATTTCTTTGTAAACAAGATGACTGGCCGTGTGAAGTAAGCCAAAGAAAAGTGTTGTACCGTGTCAGCTACGAAGCGAATAGTTGCCAAATGGTCAAAAGATAGCGCAAGGGGTACGTTACGGAATCATTATTGCCAGTGGGAAGTATTCAAAGCAGAAAATAACTGCCCTAGCAGTCAGTACGGTGCATGTTTTCTTCCGGATAGCGGCCGGTTAAGCTGAAATAAAATCGACAGAAATGCTAGCACTGTTTATGTTATGAATAAATATCTAAAACTATTAACCTCGCTAGTATCATTGTGTGAGTTTGAACACAGATGAACTTA